CATTGATAAGGTTAATAGTTCATTTTTTCCTGCTGCGAGTGGCTTGGGCCCCTGGGCACGCACCCTTTAAACCAACTGGATGATCTGGGCCTGAGCCTAGACAATGCATACCACTGTTGGGGGCTTGGAAATGTTTGGGGGATTTTCCATTTATATCTTTTCTCTGATGACAAGGACGAATCAACTTTTTAACTTTTTACATTTGACTTTGGAAATGTGCATCTACTACTTTGTCGAAGTTTCAGGTCTCGCTATAACAGATCCCTCAGGCACATCTTTTGAATACTTGGAACAGGGCCGCCAGAACCACAGTGGCAAACAGGCATTTGACCCACCACTTTTCAAAGTACTGTGGCAACGCCCCACTACTTTATGAGTAGGCAATCAGAATCTCAAGTTCAGTTGGAGGAGCTTTCAGATCTGCCTTGGTTGGTACACTTTAGTTCAGTTGTGGGAACACTCCACTCAGATCGGATCCACACCAAACAATTGAACTGCGCTAATTCACGAGAGAATTCAACTTCAGAGAACATTCTTTTCAGTACAAATGCTCATATTGTTCCTGCACTGTGAGCTGCTGTAAATAATGAGAGACAAGCAATAAAACAATTATATGCATTTGATTATGCATCGTGGGGCATATTTTTGGCAACCTGATCGGTTAAATTTAAATTGGTATTCACAAAGATGATACATGTCTCTATTTTCTGTTTATCTGTTTTCATGGTGATGAACGTGAGAGTAACAGAGCACTTGCATCCCTGCAAAATTTGTGATCAATTAACAAACACCCACGTGTGTAATTTAGTCCACTTTTGCCCTTGCAGGTCACCATCCAAGCCAAAGGAAACCATATCACAAAAAGACAAGCTGTGATGCGGTCTTCAGAAAATGAACTGCGTATGAAAACAGCAAACAAATGTTGCTGTCTGAGGCTGCACCTACTGAAGCAGCATCAAAACAAACACCGGCACTGTTCATGATCAGGTTCAGAGGTGAGAAAAGAAGCTTAAATCAACACAGGTAAAAGTATTGATAAAAAAAATTTGATTGTGCAGCTCTGTTATTTTTTTTTTGGGATTAATTTTTTTTTATTTCTTTTGGTCTAAAATTTAAAGCTCCAAAGTAGCTCTAGTTCAATGCTAAAAACCTGAAAGCTTGAGAGAAATAATGAAGGGTAGTGTAACAATTACTAAATAGTGATTGGAGGACAAAAATAAACTGAGGTTCAGGAAAGATGTGGAGAGCATCAGGATTATGATCAATAACACAAAATTGCACCGTGTCCTACAGCAAATTGATGTTCAAATGAAGAATTGCATCGCGTCACAAAGCCATCAGGATGTCTACACCGGAAACATTGAGTGCGCATCAAAATGTAAACAAACCACAGACCTCTCAAAAGCTGCTTTACTGACAGAGCCATCAGCTGTGGTTTGAGGCATGTATTTAATAGAGTTTGTACTGGGTTTTTAGTTTTATTCCCACATTTAACATCATTACTCTAAATTACATTGCATTAATCTGCTTCGTTTTGGTGGGGGGCTGCTCGGTCATGCTAACTCATATCTTTACTTAGCTACCCTAACTAGTTATCTAGGTAACACAAAACAAAGATTTTCACCTCTAACTTCCAGCACTCTGGCTCTTTCTCTCCTAATTGTTTACTGGAAAAGTTGTTCTTGGAAGACTTTCTTCACATCCATTTTAAGGTGGAATTGCAGAGTGATGCATTAAAAACAGAAAAACCGGCACATTTCATCTCCCCGCATCGCATTAAGCTCTGCCGCTCACAGCTGGTATAGACAGCTTCATTGATTATAATGAAAGCATTATATTGTTGTTGCTCGCATCCCCCCAGGCTATCATGAGTACGGGAGTAAACCGTGGATTGAACATCTGTGGCTAACATTAGCTGGTAGGACACTAGCTATTCATTTTTACTGCTGTACCCACTAAATTAAGGTAAAGATAAATTTAATTAATGCAATAAAAATAAAGATTCCACTGCAATTAAAACAGCTCTTTAGATTTTCTCATAATTGCTCACATGGCCCCCTAGTGGCTCAGGCCCCTGGGCCCATGCCCATAAAACCTATTGGATAATCTGGGCCTGACATCAGCATAGTTGAATAAGGAGAACTCATTGCATAGAACTAATATACTGTGAACCTCAAACATTGCCTCCTCCTTCAAACAGAGGGTGGTAAAATGATTGATTCCAAATTCCTAGACTGTGATGTAACTCAACATTTACGCAAAACTCAGAATTTACGACAACAGAGCAACACCAAGAAAATGGCAAACTATGTGCAGAAATGTATCGTTGCAGGCTGTGAAGGGGATGTCAGCACTTTTTGTACCCTTTCCAAGGAACCTAAAACTTTCCTTCTGAAGGCCCAACCAAGGTCAATGGGTATGGTTGATATTCATCTTTAAGCAAGGCTGAAGTTGGCTTCCTGTTGTCTAGCTTCTTAATCGAATGTTTCTCTCCACCTTAAATGCTACAGCATGTAAGGCACCAGAATGTAACTGTGGAACCATTTAAGGTGTAACGGAAAGTTCACAAAACAAGCTGGTGTATAGGAAGCCAACTTCAGGGCCCACATCTTTATCAAGATTATGGACAACTTTAATTCAAAGCTGTTAGTTTGCTCTGAACATTTCACTTTGGACAATTTCTCAAACCTTGGACAATATTGAGCAGGCTTTGCTCAGCGTTTGACACTAAAGATATGGAGGGGCAGTTTCAAATGCATCACAACCCCAACAGCAACCTGTGAGTAGCAGCCATAATGTTTGTGATTTTATCCACTTTTTGATGGTTGAAGCCAGATTATCTTAAATTGAAAGTTTCATGGTGAGCTAACAGCTTTAATTTACTTTGTGTTGTTGTTGATTTTGAAAGCAAGTAGCTAGAAAACTTTAGCTCTCATCAACCCCTAAGTAACTAGCATAGCAAACTAAATAGTATGATGACAGAATTTATTTACATGGAGGTTCATTTTATTTTCCTGAGTGTGTCTATTTTGACATAGTGCTTTTGTGTGAGCCATTGCGGTGCCTCACTGTAAACCAGATCAAATCGGAGCAGAGCTCATCAAATTTTAAATGAGCACACCAAAAAGGGAAAACAGCTCATTTAATTTCAGGTCCAAATCATAGGGTTGTAAATGGGCATGTTAAAGCATCAGGGCATTTTTCACCCTGACCAAAATCACAATTCTTCTATGTCGAAATCAGAGTACAATTGAAAACATTGCTTAAATGCATTCAATAAAAAATTTAAATATATGGATAAAGCAGTTGGACTCTAAGGGCATGGACTAATGCATCTGCTTTTTTGCTGATACTGAATGGCATAAATCATTCAGTAGTATACTGAAAACATGGTGTAAAGGAACTCATATTATAAGGTATGAACATTCATTTAATTATAGAACATGTAGACTTTAAAAAGCAAACAGTGATTCACATTGTCTCTATTTAAATTTAAGGTTATGCTTTGATGACTCTTGCTGTGATGTGCTTTGCTCCACAAAGGTCTAGGCAGTGTCATAGTCAAGACCATTAGAGGCAAGTCCGCAACTCTTTTTTAACATGTAGAAAAAGAACTGTTTTATTCTGTTTGAAGCTCAGTTTCCAGTTAATTCAGATATAGCCACTGCACATGGCTGGTCTCGAGAATAATTTCCAAGTCCACCTTACTCAGAGACTGAGACAAGTCCAAATGCTATAGAGACAAGACAAGGTCATTTAAGACCTTAAGGCCGTATTCACATAGCATAAGCTACACCAAAATAAAGTTTTATAATTGCCAAAAAGAAGGGTTACAACAATTTAATGGATAATTCTATGTGGCAGACTGGGGTTTGATTCCACACTTGGGCAAGCATGTCATACTGTACTTATAAGAGTCCTTGATCAAGATGTAATGCTACATTCACCCGCTTCCGTAATATGATTGAACTGTAAGTCACTCTGTATAAGACGATCTGCCAAAAGATTTCAAGACTACTTTATTCATGTAGCACTTTACAACTGGTTTTGTCACAAAGCTGCTTTACAGAAAATGCAGGTATGCACCAATGGGGCAAGGTCATTTAGAGCTTAGTATGTTTTCTAGCTTGTCAAGTAGAATAGTGTGGTTTATCTTATCTTATCAAATACCACACTAAGATCGAGCAATATCTATTTCAGTAGTTAGAGTTAGATAGACAGCTGATATAAGCTGAAAGACCTATGAGATTTTCAATAAAGCTACTAGCTGTGGAGGATATAGTATGCTTGACACATTAGTGTGGGGATGAATATGTGACTAAAGCGGATTTTATACAAAATTAGATAATGATCTGAGACTGCCATAGTCTGGGCAAGAATAGCTAAATTATCTGTGTTGACACTAAAACAATTAAGTCAAGGGTGTGATTGCAATAATGAGCGGCCCCCAATATGTTTTCAGTGAAACCAACAGATTCTACAATAGATTGTAGATTTATTCAAAAACGTTATTAAACTTGACAAAAGTCAAGGGTTAGGGTCCTGTTGGCCTAAAGCCTGTGGTGATAAGCACACATATTAACAAAACACACAAAAAAGCTGACATGTGAAGATAAGCAACATGAGTATCACTCTCACTGAGGATAAGCTGAGGAGGGGAGGAACTGTCATGATGTTCTGAACTTTAAGTCACTCATGTCCCTCCTCATTTACTTGAGACATAGGGGCAAAGTTCCTCTGAAATTTACATCCGTTAGATTTACACTGAGCAAGCCTTTTCCATTCTCAAGACAAGATGACTTATAAGTAATAATTAGACAAAAATTATCAGGATGTCAGCATTTCTGTGTGCATATTCGTGTGTAAAGTTAATGACTGCCTGGAACCTGTCTCTATATTTTACAGAAAAAAAAGTGTGTTAATGATTGTGAAGTTGATTCCTGAGAAGGATGTATCGAGATGGGAAAAAAACCATCATGAATGCCCTTTGTGGTTAATGAGCTCAACCTCACACTGAAAATCTGGAAAGCTCCTCCTGAAGGTTTTCAGTGAGGCTTAGGTCAGGACTGGGATTGGTCGAGTCAAAGGCTTGATTTTGTGGTTATTGAACCATTTTTGTGTGGGTTTGGATTTCTAGTTTGGACCACTGACCTCTGGCTCAGGTAGGGCAGTGCCAGTGTATAATTTGGCCACTTCTACTTTCATTGTAAAAAACAGGGCTAGTAGGATGGGGAATTGGAGTGACAGCGCTGTGGCTGTGTGATGTGCGACAATGGTGATGGACTCCATGCCCACTGTGTTACCGTAAGTCCACTCGCCAACACAAGGGCTGAAGCCAGACTAGTATAGCCTGTAACAGTGGCACAATGACTTCCTTGCTTCATTATCCTATCATTCTCTGTTGAATCCCTCAGAGTCAAATGATGTTATTCTAGATGATCACGTCTACAACAGAATGTTATTATTTGTCTGAGAAAAGCCATACATGTTCTCCTAATGGCGCTCTTTGTAGCATTCTTAAGAATGTCAAAAACACATTTAAGTACTATAAGTAATATGTAGATACTAGACTCTGTGATAGGATATCACAACTCTTCATTCCAGAATACCCATAGATATATAGAAATGCAATACCTGTTTTCTGTCTGACATGTTCAAATGATTACGGCAACAGTGGATTTGCTTAAAGCAGGGTGAACTCTGTCCAGCTTCTCTTAGGGAAAGACCATGTTGATAACATGGTCAATCAGGGTGGCCCTTATCAGATTTGATATCCTTTTTCTATGCCCACTTCCTCACCATGCTCTTCTTCCTACCCTCCCCTCCCTGTTATCTCTTTGCTCTGTTCTTCCTACCACATAACCTCATCATCTGTACCACATCTCCTTCTGCCTCTTCCACTCTTCTTCTTTTCTCCTCTTCCTCTCATCTCTCCTTGTCCTCCTACAACAACTCTGCCTCCTCTAAATCTCACACATCTTGCTCTTTCTCCAAACTCCTTTATTCTTTAACATAAGCTAGCTCCATGGCTTTCATATGTAACCCCTTTTATATACATATAAGTGCTGACACCTGTGTGAACAATTTATGAAACTGGACTTGTTTTGTGCTTTACTAGCCCCGTTGGCATCAGTTTAGTTGTAAATGTTAATATATTCCACTGTGTTAATTGTTTTAGGAATACTCACCTTAGTTTAGAGAAAAATGTAATAACGTTTGAGAAAAATAGGACATTGGATAGTAAAAAAATAGAAGAAAAAAATATTTTCGCTGAAGCAACAACATTCATATTCATATTGTTTAATTAACCCCAACTTCTTCAACTTGAAATTGTACTGTTTACCTAACACAATTCTGTGCCCTCAGATAGTTAACCAACTAAAGCTGTGCAGTAAGTTGCCTTACAAATTTAACTTACATTACGATATTAACTTTCTATCAGAAAAGGTATTTTATGTTTTACATTAGTAATCAGAGAACAATTAAACCTTTCTAGATTACATAAAGATCTATCTCAGATTAACTTTAAAGTACTGCACAGAAAATGCAGTTAACATGTAATTATTGTCTGAGGGCTCACCTGAGCCTTATACACAATGCACAAAACACTTTTTATTTCACCACTCTCACTAAAGAATGGTTTACAGTGGTTCAATTATCTCTTTTTGTGTTTCTTAAATAACTGTCCTAGGCCATTCTTTTGAGAGCTGATGTTGTATTTCTAAAGTTTTATTTTGACTTCCAGTTGTAAACAGATTAAACATAAACAGGAAATTTCATGTTCAGATCTAATGAAAGGAATGTAAGCCATGTGTACAATGAAACAGTCTAAAACAATAATGATTCCCAGAATCGTAAGGGAAACCTTCAGCCATTGAGTATATTTAAACTGACTGTCTTGTGTGTGTGTGTGTGTGGTGTGTGTGTGTGTGTGGTGTGTGTGTGTGTATGTGTCGGTTTGTTTTCAGGCTTTTAAGACTAGCCTAATTTCAATGTAACACAACACGCAAAACAGCTTCACAACAGAGGCCTGCGCTAGGCATATACCTATAAACGTCAGTTTTAAAACAAGCGCTACAAAAAGAGTACAGTCAAAAACAAGCAAACGTAAATAATACATTGTTGCATAGTTTTTACATAATCCACCAAACCATCGCTTATTTAAATTTAAGCAGCGTGTAACACCTGAAACACAAAAAAAGACCCTTAATGAAAATGACACGTAGTAAATAACTCACCAGATGTGTCTGGCTAAATTTTAAAGAAGTTTCCTCTGCTACTCGCACGCAACTGGATTTGCACAGGAGGCGTGTCGTAATAGCCCTTTGCCCTCCTCCTCTGGAGAAATAGATATAATCGGCGTCGGCTACTTATTCAGAGCAAGACTGAGAGAGTGGTACTTGTTAAAACGGAGCAAATAGGATTTGAAAACTCACCTGAGTTTTTGGCGCGGTATAATAATCAAAAAGCTTTTTGTTTATATATTTTTTTGGGAAATTCGCAAGACAGAAAGACTTGCCAAGTTTCGCCAAGTTGTGGCAAAAGGACATTTCGAGGTACCTTTCTCGGTCAACAACGTCTTTGGTGAGTAGTTCCTAAATGAACATGACTGTGTTTAGCTCCTGAGCTTCTTCCAGGAGCTCTCTCCTTGTTCAATAAGACGGTGCGCAGTTGTTAGGAATAGTTGTTAGCATTTATGTCACGAATATACCGTTATCTCAGCAGGACATTTTTATTAGTTCCCTAATTAGTACGTGCTATATAGTATAGGTTAAAACAACCCATACTTTTCAAACGCCTTGGCTTGCATCATTTGTGGTGACATGGCACTAAAATGTTCTCTTCAGCAAATTAAAGCCTTGAGTCGCCCTCGGTCCTCTGATGATTTTGTTTTACATTTACTTACGTAACTGCTTCCTGATAAGCCTTGAACAAAAATATTTACAGATTAAAACTTAACTTTATAATGTATTATGTTTGTTACTGATAATAAATGTTACTCATTTAAATTCTATATAACTTTAATTAAGATAAAACAGGGAAAAGGTATTGCAATTCATGTTTTATTTGCAACCATCGGTTTAATTATACGCTTTCCATAACCTAAAACCGATTGGTATATTACGCTCTGCAAGCACAACCGCAAAGGTAAAAGAAGGCTCCAGTGTAACTAGTAACTGGTGGTTATTGCACAAATCAGTGTACAGTGATTACATGATAGTTCTTACAAGAATTTGGTTTTCAGCCAGGTATTTGATATCCTACTGCCGAGGTATTCAACTCTGCAAGGGAAACTGTACAACACAGTGTACTGATTTCTCTGCTAAAATACACCAGCTAAACCTGGCCATTGACTGATGACTGACTCCCCAGCTTGCAAAGTCATTTAGTTTATTGTATTTGATTGTTTTATAGTATTTTAAATTATTCAAATTATCTTCACTATTTATTCTTTTTCAGAATGCGCCATCCACCTTCATTAAAATCTGCGCTCTACCATGGCTTTCTTTCTGTGTTTAGCTTCCCACAGCCAAAACAAAACAAACACTAATCTTAGTATATGTAGCTAGTAACTGGCCTTGTGTCACTTCCCTTTTACTTCACTGCAGACACACAGATGAAAGGACACAGCTGAACGATCACACTCTATTTGTAATTTGTAGTTCTAATCTATAAATCTGTAGTGTATTTATTTATTATAAAAATATCTAATTTTTAATTGTCAGATTTTCAGAAAGTGTTTGACTTTGTAACTGATATATAACAGCTTAATAATTGTAATTTTGATCATAGTGGTTTGGCCCAATATAATTACACTAAAAGATTAGGGATGGAATCCAGTACATTAGTATCCCTAGTGACTGTTACTGCAACGAACTTAACTACAGAGGCTAACATGTCTCCATATTTATGGCTGTTAGTTTTGGGCTTTATCATTGCTTTTATCCTGGCTTTCTCTGTGGGAGCCAATGATGTGGCTAACTCATTCGGTACAGCGGTGGGTTCTGGAGTGGTGACGCTGCGTCAGGCTTGCATCCTCGCTACCATCTTCGAGACACTAGGCGCTATGCTTCTGGGGGCCAAAGTCAGTGAGACCATTCGGTCGGGCATCATTGACATTAACATGTACAATGGTTCTGAGCCAGTACTGATGGCTGGCTCCATCAGCGCCATGTTTGGTGAGAATCTTTTTTTGTTGTTGTTGTTGCACTAATTTTCAAGTTAATTTAGTTAATTACTATTCCAAATTGCACAAATCTACTAATCTAGTAGAACTATAGCTACAACATAGCTAACATATAATAACAGGTACAGCTGAACATGATTAGTGCCAATTGTGTTAATTGGTTGAGCTACTTCGGAACACCTGCACTTGTAATGCTGTCTGCATTAGTTTCCTGGTGGCAAACAGGTAGAAAACGTGCTGCAGAAGATTCTGAGGCAACCAAGAAAATTGCATAAAACTATTCCTGTCAGCAGTTTGTGTGCTTTTCCCACAAATAAACCTAAATACAATGTAACAGTTGGTTAAAAGAATACAGTTAGAAGAACACAGTTTTGGTTCTTGGCTTTTGGGTGCACTCCAGCCATTGAATGGACTTGTTAAATTCCATCAGCAGCACATCTATTTTAATTTAATGAAGTACTGATTAGCCAAACTATGTACTAGATGATAACAGTAAATACATTTCCTCAACAAGGTTTAAAAATAACACACTCATACACAACTGACAATGAATTTGTTATTTGTATTTTGCATGTTAAAGTAAAAGGTAAATATTTTAAAAATAAAAAAACAAAATAATAATAAGAAGAAGAGGAAGAATAACTATTATTATTATTATTGTTGTTGTTGTTGTTGTTGTTGTTATTTTATTTCAACATATATAACCCAGACTAGCAAGTCTGTCTTTACCCTTTTCAACTCTAAAATGTTCCCAAATTTCAAGTACACTTAAAACATTAATTACACATTTTGAGTGTTTAGTTCTGGAATTAAAATTTGCATACATACATACATAGTGTGATATTGTCATAACATTATTCCTATTACACTACTGCTCCTGCTTTAATGCGTTGTGTTAATGTTGTGTTAAAGTTGCACACATAGTGCACCCATGATGATTTGTCTCTCTTCCTCTTTTTCAAATTTATTGCAACATATCACTAGTACATGTCTGTGTGCTGCAGGCTCTGCTGTTTGGCAGTTGGTGGCATCATTTTTGAAGCTCCCTATCTCTGGAACACACTGTATCGTTGGAGCCACTATCGGCTTTTCTGTGGTTGCTAGGGGTCATCAAGGGGTCAGATGGCTGGAACTGCTTCGAATTGGTATGACTTTCTGATGTCCTGATGTACGGCTAAACTACTTGTAAAATTCTATCTTGGCCATTTCTTTTGAAAACCATAAATTTTATCTGAAATCTATTTTAAGAACAGCACAGTTTGCACAGACAGAAAGCAAGGTCGCATGAAGAACCAAATGTCTCTGATGATTTAGGCTGTTTAAGGATACACAGCTTGGAAAAAATTCTAGTCACATGATCTTAAGATAACAGCATGGCTCGCACAGACTGAACGTCCCTTTTGCAAGTTGGCACACAATCAAACCTGATGTTTTTAATATCTTATTTATCTGGATTCATTTGTTTATGTTTGCTCCAGTGTCTTCTTGGTTCCTCTCCCCTCTGCTGTCAGGCATCATGTCTGCTGTTCTCTTTTACTTTGTCCGCAAGTTCATCCTAAATAAGGTAAAATGTAAACTTAAATTGTGTTACATAACCTATCAGTGTGTTCATGAGCTTAGTTTGTTTTACTGTCAACACTGAGAGCACATGCTACTTTTGCAGTGAACAGTTAAAATTTTCTGAATTGACTTTTAGTTGTGACAGATTTAGCTTGACTAGCACAAATGTTTCTTGTTTGTTTATTCATTTGTTTATTTCTAGGATGACTCAATGGTTAATGGTTTAAGGGCCCTTCCAATATTCTATGCTGTTACCATGGGAATTAATCTATTCTCCATTATGTTCACTGGAGCCCCAAGTAAGTTTATAATATAGTCCTGTATTCTAACACACACACACACACACACACACACACACACACACACACACACACACAAACAAACAAACATAAACATATATGCACAAGTTTACACACTTACACAACCTTCTCCCAATGGAATATGTCTTTGTCATGGCATATTCTTTTTTCTTGGCTCTGGGACATGCAGTGGGTATATCCCACCTTGATACAGATAGATGTCATAGGGTCACACTGGGACCTGATTGTTATTATAACAGAACACCATAAGTTAGTCTTTCTAACCTGTCAAAAAAAAATTGTGTGTTTTTCTTAAATTATAATATTAATCATTACATGAAAAAATAAAACTGGCAAGAAAACATTAAGCAACTGGTGTGAACCATACAACCTTCTGAATATACCCTCTAATCAATAAACAGCAGAGGGTTTTTCTCTCATTATCTGCTGTGCCAAGCCCATGAACATGTCGGATACTGTCAGCAGAAAGGGCTGTTCGAAGAACCTAAAACTTACCCAGAACTCATTTTGCTCAGAAACTCATCACTTTTCTGCCTCATGTGATTGGCAACAGATGTGGGAGAAAAATGCTTTTCTGTCTTAATCCACAACATGGCACTGTTTGCTTTTTAGACCAAGTGGAGTGGCATTATTAGGAACAGTTAGACAGTGTAGTGCAATGGTGTCCAGTCTTATCCACTTGTAGGCCTGGTGTGGCTGTAGGGTTTCATTCCAAACAAGCAGGAGCATACCTAATTCCACATGTTAATCAATCTCAGTCCTCAAACAACTGATCATACGTGCTTCTGCTTTGTTGGAATTAAAATCTGCAGCCACACCTGGTCTTGACAGATAAGAGTGGACACTTCTGGTGTAGTGGACAACACACTTGCCCAGTGCACCTGAGAACAGGGTTCTATTCTGCTGCTCAGGCAGGAAATGAAGACTGGGTGGTAATATACCAGTGAGTCTCCTAAAATTATGTTTATTTGCTGCTGTAATCTTTTCTGGAGAAAAACACAGCCTGTTTTTAGTGTTTCTCTGTTTGCTTAACAAATAAAGGGATCTGCTAAATATGTAAATATAAGGATAAAGTGTTTTTTTTAAATGCTGATTTGTCTACTTCAGAATTCTGTTTCAAAAGGATTGAAGGGAGATGAAATCATAAGATAAAACACAAATGTATTGATATATTGCATATATTTACCACATCACAAATCTTTAAATATTGCAACAGACTCAAACATTGTGACAGTATTGTATAGTGGGCCCTGTATAGATGGTCAGGTTTTAATGAAGTCAGTTAAGTAGGGGTGTGACTAGGTCCTGGCTATTGGGTTATTTTCATTAGCCCTCACTTCATTAGTATGGATAAATTAAATCAAGTAATTTTGCACCGTTCAAAAAAGAATGTCTTGTAAAACTGACAATAAAATGGTATAAAAGTGGTAGTTTTCAAAACCTAGTTCACATATATTCACTAGCAGTTAGGAATCTGTTATGATCAAGTGGCTAATGGACCTTGTCGTTCTCCATTTTAAAATGATATTTTCTAGATGGGCATGAAACAATTTTTCAACAGAGAAGGATGGCAAGGCACCTATTTGTGACCCTACAGAGGTGTTATTACCTTCTCATAACTAATAGAGCAAGCCCCCTGACAGTAATATCTGACTTACCATTTCGTAGGGCAAAATCTCATCTTAGGCCAAGCCTGGGCGCTCACACAGTCTAGACAGTCCATGTTACAGAGTGATTTTTTTTCATGCATAAATGTTAAGCCACCACAAGTTAAAACTGTTTCAAATGTTTTATAGACATTTGTCATATTTGGTCTGTTTAAGATATTACAGCTTTAAAGTTTGTAATTTGTATCCAAACCTTGGTTTCAGAAATCTTCCACTCTTGTTTTTGAACAGTGCTGGGATTCAACAGGATGACATGGTGGGGCATGCTTCTCTTCTCGCTGGGTTGTGCTCTCCTCACTGCCCTTGTGGTGTGGTTTGTTGTGTGTCCTCGCTTAAAGAAGAAGACGAAAAGTATGTCTCTATACCATGCATTTTTCACTTAATCTCTGTTTGTCCTTCTTCATATTTTGATGATTTTCATGACTGTGACAAAAATTTAACTAGATCACTATTTGTGGCATTATTAATTGCAAAAATTTGTTAAAATTGTTAACAAACAATTGGATGAAACAAGGTTGATTCTCAACAGTGTCAGAGTTAGGGTGAGAATTAGTACCAAGCTTAGGTTTAGGACTAGAGTTAGGGTTAGGGGAAATTTAATACATATTAAATTAAAGTTAAGTATCAATTATGTTACAGAAGTCATCAAAACTCAATCTAACTACATCTCCTGAATTAAATGTGTAGATAGTCCGTCTCACTGTGCTTTGTGGAAAAAATTCTGAAATCATTCCATTTAGGTGTGATTACATCAAACCACTGTGAAGCGTCATTGGCTGAGAGAATCACTCCCACAGATGCATCAGTGAAACATCATGTAACACTCCAGTCCTACTCTCCCGTTACCCAGCAGACACCTGCTGTGGACAGCACCAAAGTGGCCTTTGACGTTGGAGGCTCTGAAGAAGCTGACCTTGACAGCAAAGACTTTGAACCAAAAGACCTGGATTGCACTAACGGTCAGTATATTAAAATGACTAAGACTCAATAACTTAAAGAAGGATCTTTGAGAATTATTAGCACTCCTGGTACAAATTAATGAAAGGCTACCGAAAATGGCTCTTATGCTTTAGCAGCTTGATCTTGTACTGAAAATCTACAGCTCAAAAGAAATCTAGCTTTTCAACATTGTCTATAACACGTCACATTAGTGGGACCTCTGCATTTAGCAATTTGTACACCATGGTTTTCCCAAGATGAAGTCACTCATAGCAGTATCTACAAAACATCTCTGGTGGTGCTAATGCATGCTGCATCTGTAGAGATAACTACAGCTATCTATCAACCTGTTCACAGAAGACTTTTTGCATACAAACACAAGGTCTCTGCTGAGCTGCAGGTTTTACTGCACCTTACTTCATAACTGTGCATTTTAAGAGGTAAGATCATTGAGATACAAACATGGGGGGACTACCTGGAGCAATTTACTAATAAGCGTGTGTTTCCTGAACACCAAAGCAAGGCACTACTAAATCAGTATAGTAAGATTGATAATTAAATTATCAAACATCTTGCTGATCAATATTCCCCTAAACAACTTTAGCTTGTTCACTCCACAGTAGTTTGAGCCATATCAGTTGGAACCATGCTACTTTGAACAGTGGCTAAACTTATGTTGTTAATGGTATTTGTAGTGAATACATTTGAACAGTGCAGATGCATTGTAACTTACTGTGTCATTAACAAACATGAAAATTAAAATTTTATCGTAACAAAACAGATGAACAATTTAAAATATGTATGCCAATGTAAGAAGATTGTATTCTAATGTTGTTTGGACTATTACTGTTGGTTCGTTCTTCATGAAATTTTGACAATCAAAACAGCAGCTGGCATGTTCAGATTAAAAAATATACATATGATAAAAATACACAGATACTAACAAATTAAAGAAAACAAGAACAAGAACTATTTTGGAGGGATAGAACACTATTCTTCTGGTGAACATTTTGAAAGATGACTCAGCTGACAAAATCACTTTTTTGCACATCTCTGTAGACAAAAGGTTTTGCACACCTCTCAAATCTGCTTCCTCTCTGTAAAGAGGGCCCTATTATAATACATATTTCTATGCATTTGAGGATAGAGTATTCTTGCTGACACAATCTCATATCCTACACTGACATTCTCAGTCACCTCAGAAACAGTTGTTCTTCTGTTTTTCCTAAGTATCAAACTAATGCACAAGCATCATAGTCAGCGAAAGTGTGCTTTCCACCACAAAGGGCCAGATATATGTACGAGCGCCCCCGCAGCACAGAATGTGCATTGATGCGACCGCAATGTGCGCCCACAATGCACCTAAATTTAACATTCTATTTGTTAAGGCATCAGCTTGTCACATAAACTGTGTTATAATTTTTTAAATGACATTCATAGATTCACCAAGATAGGTACTAGATTTCTTATATAAATATATTTAAATTTTCATAATGAAATTGTTTGCTGTTCTATTTTGTGATTAAGTTGTGATGAATGTATTTTTGTGTACTTTATTAATTAATTGTGTCTGCATCCGTTTACAGTTGGGGTGAGTTGCATTTGCAATCTTGTCACTTTCAGCAAAGGTCTTTATCAGAAAGGGCAGAGACTGGAAACACGTTCATTTTCATTTTGTAGCAGAGATGTGTAGGTTTGCTTTTTAAACATTTTAAATCTTAAGGCTTTTTTAAAAAAAATTAAAGTTAAAAACCAAACTGTGTTAGGTAATGTTCAGCACATCATGAGTCACAAGCTGCTTTCTCCTTCTGTTCCCAAACAAACGTCACATTCTCGACCTGAGCAAGAAAATCTTACAATATGGCGTTAGTGAAACAATCACCTGAGTTGGATTCTGTATCCTTCAACTTGTCATCAAATGCACGTGTACATTTGTTCATGAGGGGGGCTCAAAGCACGATTTGTATTTACAACAGTGGTGTAAAATGAAATACACTTGGCAACTGTAGGGGGAGCCCAGGAGAAAAAATACTAATCCTCACATAAGTGTATCATCCAGTACAGGTCAGACAGCATCTGCATTCATTATAATTCTCCAAACATTTATTTTGGTTTTACTTTAATTTGTTACCTGTCTTTATCAATTACATTTTATTTATTAGAATTTGGAATAATAAAAATTAAGACACATCTTTTTGAGATTTTTCAATATGGATTTATTTTTTCTTTGAAAATGTTTGCCTCATTTGAACATTACATTTCTCGCATATTTGTGAAAAGCTTTTCATAGCTTTTTTACCAATCATTCTGAAGGGCACTACTTGCTTGTTTCAAAGAATAAATGAAAGATAGGTAAACAAGAAATACATCAAAGCTATGTACATTTGATTGCTCAGTGACATTGAATGCCTTCAAATGTGGCCATTGCAGTGCTAAATGGACATGCAGGAATGGCAGTCGCACAGCTGCAGGGGGGGCAGTTCCATACAGTGCACAAAGACTCTGGCATCTACAAAGACTTGTTACACAAGCTGCATCTAGCCAAGGTGGGAGGCTGCATGGGTGAGACCAGTGACAAGCCTATCCGACGAAACAACAGCTACACTTCCTATACTATGGCCATCTACGGCATCCATGGATCTTTCAAAGAGGGTGAGGGAGGTCGCTCTGGAGAGGATGGTGAGAAACGGCGTTCGCGCATGGACAGTTACAACAGTTATTGTACAGCTGTAGCAGATGGAGATGCAGGTGGTGCCAGTGACACTCTAGCTGTAGATTTGCATGATGATGACAGTGCAGAGGACCCCCTGCAGGAAGACAAGGTGGATGAGCTGGAGATAGACAAGCCGGAGGTATCCATGCTCTTCCAGTTCCTGCAAATTCTCACTGCCTGCTTTGGATCCTTTGCACATGGAGGTAATGATGTCAGGTATGGAAAGAGTTTTGGTATGCCTTTGGTCTAAGTAACAGCATATGCAAGAGATGCCCTTGAATTCTTGGGGATGTCATTTTTAAGCCATAAAATTAAATAAAAATAGGGTTTTCTTTTACTCCGTCATTTTGCTATCTACAAGGGACAAAACGTAATGGTTACCTTCTTTTGTCTCCCACTTCCTTTTACAGCAATGCAATAGGTCCTTTGATAGCTCTCTGGCTAGTATATAAAAGTGTCTCTGTAGCATCTAATGCCCCAACACCCATCTGGCTGCTCCTCTATGGTGGAGTGGGCATCTGCACTGGGCTGTGGGTTTGGGGCCGGAGGGTCATACAAACTATGGGCAAAGACCTGACCCCAATTACACCATCCAGGTAAGGAACATCATAATTTTTTTTTTTTTATTGTCATACATAAACTCAAACACACAGCAAAGCAATAACAAATGGCCTTGTGTAAATTCAACAGCAAGCATAAGAAATTACATTGGTTTGCTTTTTTGTTTCTGTTCATAGAATTATACGATTTTAAGCAGCTTGGACTCACAATAGTGTATTACTTAGCTGCATATTATTATACTTAATCAAACCACCACACTGGCATTCTTGAATTAGCACAGATTGTTCATGATATCTGCTATAAAGCAACTTTTATCTGTAATAAGATGTACAATTTTCAGTTATTTTTTCTCTTTTTAAAAAAAATTTAAAGCAACAAGATGCAAGATGGTGTTTTGTGTAAATTATTAAATATTAACATTAAATATTACATATTGATATTGTGTATTTTCTCATAGTGGATTCAGTATTGAGCTGGCCTCTGCTGTAACAGTAGTAGTTGCTTCCAACATTGGACTCCCAGTCAGCACCACTCATTGCAAGGTGAGCCTGCCATAAGTAATGTATTGTTTTTATGAAATAATTGTATATTTGTATACATAAGTTATACATTAATACTGTTTGCCTCTGATTTGCATGCGTATTGATTAACAGGTTGGATCTGTGGTGGCTGTGGGCTGGATTCGCTCCAGGAAATCCGTTGATTGGCGTCTGTTTCGAAATATTTTCATTGCCTGGTTTGTGACTGTGCCAATTTCTGGTCTTATCAGTGCTGCCATTATGGCACTGTTCTATTATGCTATTTTGCCTGTAAACTAAAAGGCTCCTTAGAGCTGTTGTAAATGTTGTAAACATTTTAAATAATTACTGTTTGTTTAATTTCAGATGTGGGCCTTTCATTTGATTTCCATTTTCAATTGTATTCAAGCTATGTGTACTATGCAAAGTGTGTTTAACTTGACATATTAGTTCTGTGATACTTGTACTCATTTTATGTGCATAATTCTATCATGTGTAACACTGTGAGAAAAAATTATAACAGTGTAATGTAATTTTCCTCTTGGTTAACTTTTTCATTACACTTCTTGGGAATTCCATATATAAAAATGATTACAAAGATTAAGGTGATTAAGGTTGTCCTAAAACAGTGATTTTTTATTGTCATGCAAATATGATTTCATAAATAAAGCAAAGTTTTTATTGAACTGAACAAACAAGTTGTCCATTTATTTTTTCTTAGCTGCCCTGCAGTGCACTAGGATGTTTGACTGGATTGAACATAGTGGGTGCTAGAGGTATCTGATAACACATTCAGGCCAATATAAATGAGCTGCATAAGTCAGCATTCGTAATTAAATGAGTTTATGGGAATTCCATAAATGTAAACACCCTCACTGTCTTACTGGTGAATACATACAATATGTCTGGCACATTCAACCTAGAAGGGCTGGACTTTTGGCTAAATAAAGGACAGGAATAAAGGGAGTGGACAAAATAATGCAAACACCTAGCAATACATAAATATTGACAACCTAATAGGGAGTAGGATAGGATTTTGACTTTGAATTCTTCTTGAAATGCATTTAGCTTTAAGTTGTGTGTGGTTTGAGAGATTGAAAAGGAAATGGACTTCCCACTCTGTGGTTTCCATAAAGATTTAATTTTTGTTCAGAGGTCATGAAAACACTGAAATTTGTGTGCATGGCTTCCTTTGAGCCTTATAACTTTGAACTTTCCAAGTAATCTGGCTTGGAAAACAATGCAAAATTCACTTGCTGTCACAAAATTACATCTCTGTTTCTAGGCTTCACCACTCAAAAACATTCAGATATGACACTTTTCAGAACAATCAGCAACAATCTGTGACTGATGTGCAGAAAACTATCAGCGAGTAATCAAACTTGATAATACATGAAAATTTTGTTTACACTGTTAACTGAACATAATGACATATGGCATGTGGGACTGTCTCGTATAAATACTGCAATTGTAATTCTACCTAACCAAAATACCAAAATAATTTACGTTAAATTACCTTAAGGTTATAAGTGTTAAATCACTAATGTCTAAAACAGAAAGATAAACAACTACATCAAAAAAACTATAGGGTACTCGTCAACTGTTGTGGTAACTGCATGTAGCAAATGTTAAACATTTCTCATTTTTAGATGAAAAGCACATATTGACCTGGCTTGAAACCTGACTCTTGCACTTCGCAGGCTGATGTTTCTCCACAAGGGGGATCTATTAGCTCTTAAACAGGTTTGTATTGGCTTACTGAAAGAGAGAAAACCCATATGAATACAATCTCATCAAGGCTTGTTTGCAGTACAACTGTAATGCTGCTTTATGCAAATAAATGATGTGTTGTTGAATATTTCACAAGTGAGACACTGTGTGGCCTTGTTAATTCAGAAATATGTACACAGTACTCAGGGTTAGGAAGATTATAGATTACCGATTACATGTTAAAAAATACAATAAATAAAAACTCATCCAAGATGTCTTTGAAAAGGGAAAGAGGAAAACTGCACTGTTTTATAAATAAAAAATTATATAGGTTACATTTAGTTGCCAAAACTATGCCAGTAGCGTAGCCAGAACTTCATTTTAAGTGGGGAGGTTGAGATGGCAACTAGGAAGCATTTTGTCCTAGAGACATCGCTATAGTGAGGTCAACAACTACTAATAAGTCTACCCACTCATGTACTTCAATGTAGCTTCCACAATCAGACAGAAAAAAATAAAACAATAAAACTTTGCTATGGCAGGGGACAAATACAGAAGAGCTCTTTCTTAGGTCTACATTCAAATCTTTTCATAGTAGTTGGTTATGTCATTAAGAAAACCCAGTAACTTCTTGGTAGGCAAGCTGTAACTCTTGTCTTGTCACTGTTGCTACAGCTACAACCCTGTAGGTAGATAAAGACAAAACAGGCCAACATGGCCACAAAAAAACATTAAAAAAGATATGTGAACACTTTAGAGGCAGTCTCCAGAAAAACACTATAAGAAGAAGATTAGCTAGATTGGGCAACTGGATCCATATAGCCTGCATATCCCCAAAGTGAAGGGATGTAGATTACCTTGTATAGGTGAGTGAGGACTCACTTGGCCATGAGGTCATACAAGTAATTTATCGAGATGATTATGGACTCAACAAATCTTAGAATCAATAACCTCTTCAAAGATGTTCAAGAACTAAAAAGTAGTCTAATCTACGCAAAATCAGAGATAGAACATCTAAAAACTGCCTCTGCGTCTTGTTTAAATGCATTAAAAACAATAGCAAATGGCATCAAATGCATTTGGATCACTACTACTACACTACTAAAATCAGTTGCACAGAAACAACATTATAATAGATAGGGCACATGATTCTAAATATGAAACTTGGTAGTAGCCAGCTACCGAAGAGAAAAAGCTACTTGTTGATCACCTTAAAAAGGAACCAAAACTAATGGAATTTGAAAGGGTGCACAGCATTTGCAAGTTTAACGCCAGTTGCCAAAGAATGTCTGGTGTAAAGCTCTTGCACTACAAAGACAAGGAAGAAATATTAAAACTGTCTAAAACACTCAAAGGCACAAACATCTATGTCAATGAAAACTTTTCAGAAGCTGTGCATTTGAAAAGAAAGGAACTATTACCCTGGCTGCATGAAGCATAACGCCAGGGAAATATTGCATGTCTGTATACATGTCTATATGATAAGCTTTTGTTTGCCCACCCAAGCTGCCAGGCCAGCAAAATGGTCAACCCCAGTCTGATTAAGGTTCACCACTGTTCATATTTCCTAGACCAACTAAGTCCTTTGCACTTTCATGTTCTTATAGCCCTCTCCAGTTCTCTTTCTTTTTATAACTACAGTACTTCACATACACGTTTCTTTCTTCAACCTGATACGTGTCTAACACAGACCCTGATATTAATTTATCAGACAAGTCTATTAATAATGCAATTAGAAACTGCCCATATCACACAGACAAATCTTTAATGAACCTGTGTGAAGAAAATAAAATAAGCACGCACAGCACTGTTCCACTTAAACTTACAAATCTTGCAAAGCACTATGACTCTTTGTTGCGTTATTTGTCATTATTTCCTGTACAGTTTACTATTATAGGTCTCCCTAATACTTGGTTTCATAATCACAAAGCTTTGATGTTTTAATGCTCCTGAATTAACTGAAATGAGGGCAGGTCACTCCTAGCCCTATAGTTTCTCCCAATGGTAAGCTCCGATACAATTGAAATAAAACCATACCCCCAACACAAAACCACACACAAAACACATAAAACACATTTCAACCCAGGAACAATAACATAAACAACAGTAATTGTCACTCAAAGGGAGGGGGCATGACTCCCAAGAGCCTGTTCTTATGGCACTTTTTGCATGTCCACTTGCAAGCTCCAACAGGAGTGCAGTCAGTGGCAGACCACCACACAGCCCCCTCTACCTTAGGAGTCAGCCATCCCAGTGACCCACATTGCTCGAACAAAGTTTTTTTAGGTGCACCGGAAGGTGTCGCCTGTTATGGTCTCCTCATAGCACGGGTCTCTGAATTTCCACTGTCCTGGTCAGCACAAGCACCAGGGAGGCAACGTCCCTTGACCCCAGGCACTTCCAACTCCTCTTCAGGGCGGGGCCCCTGATGAGATGGCTCCACTTAGCCCAGCATCATCTTCCGTACTGGGCAAATGTATCCCTATGAACTACAACAGTCTGCTGCCCCACCAGGACCCCATACACCAACTTACCCAGGCATTCTTTTGCCACACAAGGGTCCTTCCAGGGTGACTGCAGCTTTGGGCAATACCCTTTTCTGTGGTGTGGGTTGTACAGCCACACAAATGCTCCAGGCGACAGCAGTTGCCCTTGACAGTATGAGTCATATGTTCATTGATGGCCCCAACAGGACCAGGAGTAAATGATGAAGGCCAGCTAAATAGTGAGCGTTCAGTTGAAACACTCCACAAGACCATCACTCTGCAGGTGGAGTGGTGTGGTCCGGGTTTTTCAAATGCCCAGCCGGTTGCAAACCCCAGTCATGACTGCTGACTCAAAGTCGCACCCCTGGTCACTGTGAAGTTCTTCTGGCACACCGAAACAGCAAAATAAACTCCTCTACCAGCCACTCATCATCATGGCCACAAGCACATAGCAGTTCCTGGCTTCAGTACTGGGAAAGGGGCCCAGAATACCCACATCTGCTCCCTCCATAAGAGAAAGGGATTTCAACAAAGTGCGTGACGGCTGCGGTGGCCCTTTCTTGGCTGTACACAAGCTGTAGCAATGCAAACAGAGCTTCACATCCAAGCAGCAACCTGGCCAGTAGAATCTCAGCTTGCAGCTGCTTCAGAGTCTTGCCCACCCTAAAGTGCCCTATGTCAGCAGCCCCAGCACTTTGCATAGGCTGCATGGCACCCGCAACAGCCAGATGCTCCTCCCAAACACGGAACAACAACCTGGAGGCTGTCCCAACCCACTTGGAGTGCCTTGGCAGTTGGTCCCTGTGATGATACATCTGTTCATTCTGGTGTCTGCCCTGCCTGAAGCCAACCATGCAACCAGCAAAGATCAGTATTAGGAGTTATCAGGATCAGGAGAGATCAGATCTTCATTACCGTGTAGGTGCCTGGCATGGTGCTGAATGAAAAAATTGTACTCTTGTAGCACCATGATTCACCTTGCTGCCTGGCCCTCGGGCTTTTTAAACTGCATAAGCCAGGTCGACAAGGCATGATCAATGTGCAGCATAAAGGAAAAACTGTACAGGTAGGGCCAAAACTGGTGCTGCCCTAATACAACAGCCAGCAATTCCGTTCCCTACAACAAACTTGCAGCTGCTCACAGGAATGGTAGTACTGGCAAACTTGGAGCAGCATTTTCTGTGTTAATGCTATGCAACACCAAATTGGTCCCCATATATTCTTCCTCAGTTGCCACAAAGATTCCCGTTCATCTCCTCACCTCCTCTCCAGCCTCAGCGTAGCCTTTGCGTCACTGATCACAGTTCCCGTCGCATCACGGCTCACGATAGGGAGTCACTTCCTTGCTCTCATGTCATGTCGGCTGCCAGTAACGGAGCTGAACTCTACGACAGTGGTATGCTCCCAGCCGTCCGGCATACCTCATGTGGTGTGAGGAAGCACACCCGGCTGCAGCAGAGAGATAGTCAAGCCCATGTCACTGAGCATAA